TCTCTATTATTACGTAAGATTAATGCAAGGCAGCTTATTTTGAAGCTTATAATTTTTTTTGCCTTCGAAACAATTATTCATATACGTATTAACCACTAAAAAAAGAACACGTCAACACTTCGTCACGTATATAGCCAACGAAAATTAACCGAGTTCAGAAGGCAAACCATAGAAATCAAAGTTGTTTATATTATATTGAGGTTTGCATTACTCTATCACAAGTAATGGCTTCCACGTCGACACGAATCCAAGTGATAACTTGAGGGGAGAGCAATAAAACAATGTCACACGCCGCTCTTTCTTAGATTGAGGCTCGCGTAATGCGGTTGGGCACTATTGAATAATTCACTGGCCGGCCATCAGTCGCCTGTCGGCAGGACACTCGCCAGCGGAATCATAGTCCGATGCAAATGTAACACGCTCTGTCTGTGACCAGTGAAAGTTACAAATGACTGGGTCCAGCACGGACCATACGGGCCGTTGGTAAAGCGCAATTCCATACGCAGCCACATTTCGCTATCGGGCTCTCTTATAGCGGCTTATAGCGGCAGTTAGTTATCGCGATTACGTTTGTTTGAATTATGCGACCAGTTATCTCACCAAGTAGCTTAGCGCATACTTTATTTAAATAAGTACTTTTTTACGAATACTGGTAACATTTCAAGATCGCTGTCCGAGTTACGAATGCGTTAGCAGCCTGTTAGGGAAGAAAATTATCTGTTTAGTAATCAAAGTAAGCAGAAAGTCGTATAAAGCAATTGTTAAGATGAAACTGACTCAACTAAAAAGATACAGAACATATAACTATATGGGCATCTCTGCAAGGTAGTATATGGAAACAGAACTTTCCAAGTATCAACATAATCTTCCAGATAGGAAGCCTTTCAAATTCCTGATGCCTAATATTTCACTTTACCGAACCTAGTGTTCGGTAAAGTGAAATATTAGGCATTCCTAGTGTTCAATTTCTTAGTGTGATAAATATGTTGTTAAGGGATTGTTTTGTTTTCTATTCTGAATCGTATAGCTTTAATGCTAATGTGGATTAGATTTAATAATACTTGGTACTCGATTTTTTCCCCCAATCCCCAATATTTAAATACAAAGTGTATGCAGCCCCTTTTTAAAGGAATAAATTAAAGTTTTATGAAAATTAAAAGAGGTTTCTCATAGTGCTGCATGGACATGACTTATCACCAAGCTCAGCTGCTAGGCATTAGGGCATAGTCCACCACGCAACAGCCCTGTGAATTGGTAGGCTTCATCTTATCTTTGAAATATTTATTTTTATTATTATTTCGAAAATATGCGGGTTTCCCTAAGATGTTATCCTTTACCACCGCGCACGTGATAGGTCAGTACACATAATTTTTAATTAACAATTTCATTGCAGCCGGCATCGGGAATTGAGTTCAGGTTGCTCGAGTATTTTGAAAAAAAAAAAATTTAAATCGAGAATAAGCGTCCGAATACTGAGCTATCGCGGCTCGTTGACGTCTCTGACGGATAAAATTTATCTGCGTAATTATATTTTAGAATTGTAATTTAATTTTAGTTGTAAAGTGAAAAAGTTCTATCTGCACAGCATTCACATCGGCGAATATTTTTCAAGCAAAGTAATAGTATAATTTCCAATCTTAGATAAAAATATTCTCATATCAATTATCCAGTTCAATTCCTATGCTCATTATTTCAAAATTAGTTGAAAGGACAATTATCAATAACATAATTATATTTTCAATAATAATAAGATATAATAGATTTAACAAACAATCGTTGAAAGACATCTCGTGTTAGCACACCGCGATATTGCAGTATAAATGACAATTAAATACACGGTTTTGCTTACTTTTTTCATATTAAAAGTAATTGAATACTTCACTTAAAATGGCTAAAATAATAACTATTCTCCTGAGACCTTCTAAATCGACACGAAAAAATTATATGTATAAAAACCTACTATATCTGCCCTCGCACTCTATCAGTATTAACAGTTATTATTCAAGGAATGGACGTGGCAGGGCGAGATTGATGCTCCGTTGGACGTGGCGGTCAATCTATTCAGGACGACGACACAAAATTCTATTAATGGTGTTTGTTCTGTGTTGTGGCTCTAAATAAGGTAACGGTGAATACCCATGCTTGATGAAATGATTTGATTTACTAAATTGTACCGAGTATATATGTACAATTTGGGTTTTATCCTAACAGGGTATTATAAACAGCCACTTCTCTTTCTTATTTTCTTACTTGTTGATGCAGTAAGTCCATTCGTTGCTCTATATCAGTTCTGTGTATAATATTGATTTTAAGCTTTTTCATGTAAGGTGTTTACTGCAGGTTTACAATATGCAGTACACGCTTATGACTAATATAAAGTATATAATAATAAGTATTGTGTGAATATTGTCTGTTTCATGAGACACTCCGTCAACCCTAGGCTCGTTCATTATGCAGCGCGCGTGGCGAAATAAAATAAATAAATACGGAGCGGACTCGGATGATCCCGCGTGATGGATGTATCGCCGGGCGCGCCCGCTGGAAGTACACTTAACCCACGAGACTCCAATCCGGTTAACAGCGAGAGTTACCATCTTTACTTTTTGTTGCCCCCTTTATGCCTTTGCTTCTTTCAATCCAGCTATGGCAACAAAATTACCGTATACATATTACGACAAGGCTTTCTTGGACACAAATGAATTTTTGAATGTGAACTTTTTTTTGAAGTCATTATTAATTTAAAGCATTCCTGTCATAATAAAGTTTCCTTTTTGTTAACTAAGTTTTTTTTATGTTAGAAGGAAGCTAGCAGAGCCGTGATAGCTCAGTGTCCGGGCGCTCGCCTTTAATTCTATATACTCGAGCAACCTGAGTTCGATCCCCGGTGCCGGCACCAATGAAGTTTTTAACTTTAAGTGCTGACTTATCACGTGCTCCGCGGTGAAGGAAAACATCGTGAGGAAACCTGCATATTTTCGAAATAATAATAAAAAAAAATATATTTCGAAGATATGTGAAGTCCGCCAATCCGCAGTGGGGCCGCGTGGTGGACTATGCCCTGATACCCTCTGAATAGAGGAGGCCTTTGCCCAGCAGTGGGACATGTATAGGCATGTATATATACTTTTTTTACTTTTAGGAAGCTAGCGAGCTGGCAGTTCAACTGATGCTAAGTCCTAACCGCCGCCCATAGAAACGAAACAAAACCCGTAGACCTACAGAAACCTTTTAATAAAGTGGGTCCCGGTTACTTCACTCACCAGACGAATAACACTTACACTTTATGTCGTTGTTCTGTGAGGCTGTGGCAAGTCCCAGGACGGCTTTTACGTGGCCCTACCACAGGTAAAGATTATCTTTAAATTAAGAGATATTAAATGCCAATAAAATTTATTGTGTTATAAATTTGAATTGATTTGAGTTTATGTAGATTTTTAGAGAGTTTATTTAATAAATGTAACACATTGGATATGATTTAAATTGAAAAATACTAACAAAATGAAAATCAAAACCAGCCTAAAGGAAATATAATGTTCAAAGGTAATATAATTAACAAATCCTAACTTTGGATTTTCTGTTCCGGTTGAAGGGTTTCTTGTTCGGCTTTAAATTATGTTCGCAAGATGGAAACCCGTGTCATCGTCAAATTTAGTTGATATCATAATTTATGTAGTGGCGGGACCCTCTTCAAAGTATTTGATAACAAACGCATAACAGATACTACGTACATGAAAGGATAACGGCCAATTTGGCAGCGCCGGGCGTGGGACTGACGTGTGCGTCTCTGACGGAGGTTGTTCTAGGCGCAGATCAAATTTGACTCGATACAAGGGCAAACATTTACCTGCGACGAGCGAAAACAAACAGCGCGAGGCAAACATTTGCTCATCGGGAAGCTAACGAAGTGGAGGCACGCACGGCGGTACCAATGGGGGAGGCCAATTAACTAATTGTTACTATTTGTGACCAACTTATCGCTACGTGCCGCGTAATTGTGATCGGCGCTTCGGTGGCAGTTACCACGGCTTCTCACAATCATTCAATCGTGGACGAGTGGCGTCCATTTCGGCGCTCGGCAAGTTCACGATGAAAGTTATCGAGTGTGATACTCGAATCCCACGCAGGCGATTGCGCAATGATATATGATATCGTACCACAATGTGATATAGCGTTTCGAGTTACATTTTTATTGGGTTACGTTGCCACTTGCAAAACCTGTTTGTGCCCGATCGAGTGATATACTTTTATCGACTTTTGTTAAACTTTTTATGGTTGCTATGAATAACACAAATATTATTTTTATTCTACTACTTGAAACGGTGACTCAGAAGTCGCTATTCGTAAAGATGTGGGAGAGTGCTTACGGAATTCTTGGACTAATTCAATTGCGGGGAAATACGTTATATCTTAATTTATATGAACCAGTCACGAAATGTTTCGTAGTTGGGTTCACTCTATCAATTACTTCGGACAAACCTTCAATTGTGAATGGTTGAAGTGCGTAGCTGTTCTGCTGTAAACAGTAGAGTTTTCATTAACATCATGCCAGGAGTCAAAACATTGAATATCGTTATTATCTAAAAATAATTAAGTTGTATCATGGGCAACGAGCGAAGAAGTAAAAACTCCTTTTAAACGATGATATGAGACGTAACAACTTGTTTAATATTCCATTCGAATTTCTTACCGATTACTAATAGGTGCTCTGTGTTTATACTCGTGGCCTTTAAATAAACTGTCTTAAAGAGAGCTTATTTACAAGGTAATGCTTTCATTAAAATCCTTAACAGTCTAAGCGAGTCCTACATTTGTTTTTGTCAATTAAGATAAGAAGGTAGTTTTCAGTGTAGATATAACATTTCAAACAAAAACATGGTTACATTCTATCCCACAGGCCAATGTTACAATGCCAGTCCTGTTGCCCAACAAGTAAAGGTCGGGCCCAGTCAAGTCGCACGGTAAATAAAAAGAAACCCCCTGTCCAACTAAAAATACCAAGTATGGAGCACATGTCGCACGCAGCGAGCGCAGTTGGTTTGTCGTGGGCAACACAAAAAAAGTACTATGCTGGCGTAACATTTTTCCTAGCAAGCGGAAGGTTTTCTAGTTTAGCAATGTGGCGGGGAGCGTGCGTTGTGCGCAGGGCCCCCCGCCGAGAGAGGACCACCGGGGCAGCCGCCGCGGGATACGGCGATGGCCCGTCATCTCGACGAGAAGGGGAGAGAGATACGCGACTCGATTATGGAAGAAATCGTCCCTTGGCAATGCCACATCCCAACGAGCGTATGGAAAAACATGCATTGCACGCACATTACTTCACGTCTCCGTTCTCTAACAATGCAAAATGTAAAATATGCTAAAGAATGCTGGGCGATTGACGTTTTTGGACTGTTAAGCTAGGGCAATTGCTGAACAATCCAGACAGACTACACAATACCATGTGCATTTAAAAACCTATGACTTTTTTCGTTTAATCCCATTTTGGTTCAATTTTAAAAGAAGTCTTCAGCTATTTAATTCCGTTTAATGTCTTGAAAATTTTATATTTACTTCAATATCTTACTACAAACACTTCATTTATTCTTTTTACACTTTCTCATTTAAATATCTGTCAATTAAGCATTTTTTAGTTTGTCAACATCTAATTGTATTCCAGGGAAATCTCATTTGTTTACTTTTATTTAGTATTTTTAGTACAAAATGTTTTAATTATTAGAAAAAACATTTAGAGACATAACACCCGTAAAAGCGTAAGATATTTTGTATTGTAAATCCATACTAATATTATAAATGCAAAAGTAACTCTGTCTGTCTGTCTCGCTTTCACGCCAAAACTACTGAACCGATTTAAAAGAAATTTGGTACACAAATAGTCTAGAGCCTGAGAAAGGACATAGGCTATTTTTAATTGGAATTTAAAAAAAATTGATATTTATTTAAGGGCTACAACGCGAGCGAAGCCGCGGGCAAAAAGCTAGTGTTATATAAAAGTAAATGTTATAAATTTTTATTTATAATTCCAAGTAAGTTTTAAATGTATTTTTATTATTTTGTTTCATATCATCCTTCTACACTTATACTAGTCGCGTTGAATCTATTCTATAGTCAGTCGATTCGGCACTCGGCAGTTAGCGGGGAACGTTCAAACAACACTTGCCTGGGAAAAAAGAAAAAAAACCGTGCTCGTAGCGATGCGTGTTTCCTATTCAAACGGTCACGAGTGATTTATAATGCTTTTTGTCGCTCAGTTCCGGGAGTCGATGGTGTTTTTATTATCTTTGACGTTATTATGACAAGGGCTTTATAGAAAAACACCGATATTTATTTCCTGTCTAGAACATTCCGCTTAAATCATATAAATGTGTGAGAAGAAACGTTATAAATAGACTGGAAAGGATATACAATAACCTACCCTAACTAATTGAGTAATATTATTTAAATATTTATAAACAGAAAAGGTTTTATGTATCGCTAAAAGACGCCCTTTATCTTTGAATTTATAACACAAAAACTGGGTGGCAGAGTTGGTGGGTGGGGTAAAAAAATAAGACAAATCTATCTCAAAGATTGAGAGAAACGTGAAAAAAAAAATCTGTTACGATTGAATAGATGTCTGATTGCTGAACAAGAAATAAAAAGAGCAACTACATATTTCCCTGAACCACGAGACCGAGATAAGGCTCTCCATGGCCTTCTAGTAATATCGATGCGTTTTATTAAGAATTGTCCCGATCCGTATCTGCCACGGAGAGCAAAGCTGTGTTCAGCCGCAACTCTCGATAACACCGCTGAGGTCCAACAAAAACTTAGTGATTTGTTAGTCCGATGAAGACCCCTGTTTGTTTTTATTTACATTCGGAATAAGGTTAGGGTTTTTTGTTTCGGCTCTCTCTTCCGTCCCTCACACGGAATTCTATTGTCAGTCCTTTTGTCAACAAATTGTATGGAAACGGTAGGTCTGTTTGTGATCGATCATAAATCACAACTATTAGTTTATACTACTATCAAGAATACAATGATTATTTCTATTAGATAGTAGCATCTTTAAAATTTGTACTTTATGATAATTCGTGCTGATCTTCATGTCGACAACATTGTTATATGTATTTGTTTCATTAGGCTACGTATCTTATTAAGAATACCATTACAAAAGTGTAACCTTTAAAAACAAAAATTGTCAACGTACAACATATTTTAATACAAACTATAAATAGGCTTATCTTATGGCTTTAGAACGTCCAGTTAAAATTTATTTGGTTTGTGAGGTCCAAATTGAAAATGAAAGCCCTGTGTGCAATTCACCTAACTCTGTTATTAATGGAATATAAATTTGTGTAACAAAATGGGATTAAAGTCAAAGCGAGCGGTCGGTAGCGGCAATATATCGAGACTAATCACTCAGGACGTCACGTTTTATCGTAGACGAGATCTCAACGGTAATTAAGTCTAATATTATAGAAGCCGCCTTTGATAGAATCACGGAGGCCACCTCTTGCTTGGCAAATTTTGCTTGATTATGTATTAAACCGCTGTGTTCAAGAAGTCTCAAAAATATTTAACTATGATAAATATTTAGAATTACCTAAAATTTAAGAGATTGCTGTTTTCGTTTCACTTGTTTTTCATTTTTTTAAAACTCGAACTCCTCGAAACTCTCAACTAGAAACTCCTGTAAATACCAATATCACACATTTAAATTTCACGTGGCATTTTAAAAAGTGTGTTTTAATTAATTCTTTGTACGATGTTAAAATGGTCTCTTATCCTGACCATTAATTAAGCATATATATTGTTTGTAAGATGACTACCATGTAGTTTTGAAGGCAGGTTTTTAGAGTTCCGTACCCAAAGGGTAAAAAACAAAAACTCAAAGGAACCCTATTACTAAGACTCCACTGTCTGTCTTTCTGTCTGTCCGTCTCCTAACAGACTGTGTCTCATGAGCCGGGATAGTTAGACAGTTGAAATTTTCACTGATGAAAAAACAGAATAAAAAAAATATTTAAGTGAGGTTCCCATACAACAAACATTATTTTTTTGCCGTTTTTATAGATAGAGGTACGTACGCTTCGTACGCGAGTCCGGCTTGCACTTGGCCAGTTTTTTTTTAATTAATTTTGTAATTCTTTTACAATCAATAACCAATAATTGTAACAAGTTTTATTCATAGGTACATTAATTAAAGTAATAAAACCGTGCATGTATGATAGTAAATAGTATACACAAAACATATTCATGAAATTGACAAGCATAATTTGTTTATTTAAATTAGAATGCATTTTACGAATATCTTAAATCATGGAAATCTCTTAAGTTCAAAGGGCGCATGGCCTTTAATTACAAAGTCAAATGCCCGTAATACGTTGTAACCGGTCTAAAGTTCAAAAACTGTGAATGGTGCATAATTAGAGTAATAACTTCAAAGTGAGGAGGCGAGTCGCAGTGGTGTAGACAGTGAACACAGCGGGGCCCCTAACGAGTATTTCAATTCGCTCGCGCAAATCCCGCACCGCAAGCGAACAGGAAGACTGGCTAGAGTTATTACGTTGACTGTACTTGTGGTGGCACTGCTTTAAATGCCTCTACGACTCCCAGCAATGCCACAATTTGAAATTGTTTCATTAATGAATAGTCGAAATACATTATTTATTGCAGTTGATGTAAATACTTTGAGTACTTCTTTTAGGTTTGTCGGATATTGTTTGCTGGTGGGTGCTAATGGCTAAGTGTTGTTCGTTGTGGCGTTTTGAAGGGGAGACCTTTGTTCAACAGTGAACTTCAACACGGGTGGCTGATGATGATGATAGAGCTTGTAACGGCTGAATACGGGCCCTTAATATAGAAAGTAAATATTACGTTTACTTTCTACATTACGGGCGCTCAATCGAAAGTGCACCGTAAAGCGAAATACGTAAACACCGCCAACATAACTGATAAGCTATTGAAATCTCTAATAACAGCTTAGTTATTAATTCGTAAGCATAATAATTATAAGATAGCGATCGTAAATCGCCGCGAGAGGTGCACGCGGACGCGGAGGGGATGCCGCCGCCACTTTGAATTAATAACCGTTGCTGCTGCTAGCTATTTTGCATCGGCTGACCCCAAGCGACGAGTATTGCTCGTTCGGATTTCACTTTCGGTCTTTGGATGTTTTTTTTTTCAAATTAAAATAGGTAGATTATTTTCGCTAAATAACAAATTTTACGACTTTCTAATTAATTGTTCGTTTAATTCTTATATAAATTGATTATTCTAAACAGAACGTAACGTAATAGACATCATCACCAATACAATATGTAATTAGTTTTAATGAAATAAGTAATTTTTTAACAAATAAGAATTCAGAGAAAAAGTTCTAAGGAAACCTGTTGGAATTAGAAGATTACCCCCTTCTGTAACAAGACACTTAGCACAATAACTACTTCCCATTGCTATTGCCCAGATTATCTTTTGAACGTTGAATAATAATATGACGAAGATATATATTTATAGCTCTCAGAAACGTAATGAAAATGCACACTATATCCCCAATACACTGGATATAGAGGAGGGCTTGACTCAGCATTGCCACATAAATGTATTCTGAAATCTTACGATAACTGGATAAAGCCCAAATAGACATTTATTATTTGCAGATTTCAAACGATTGCTGTAAATCAAATAGTTGCGTGCCAATACCGACGCTTATATTTAACCATTCGTGTGTACATAGCTTTGGGCTTTAATATTTTTGCATAACAATCGGAATTAAATGAAAATTCGGCATTATAGTGAACTGTATGTAGCAAAGTTATATTTGCATGGTTATTCGAGAATTAAATGAAAATTGGCTATATATTTGTAACGCCAAAGTTATATTCTGTGGATTAGTGTTTATAGCAGAAATAGTCACGACATAGGTAATTTATGCAGTCAATTGCGCAAATATGCTGTAGAATGTCTAACGCCTCTTATATCTTGCCCGCTTGTTTTCAAACGTATGTTCGATGCAGTCACAGTATTTAGAATGTAAATTATTATCGTTTCTAATGGGTATAAATTTTCATTATCCTATTACGGTGGCTCCGGCCGAATCCTTCATTTTTTATTTAATTTGTTAGCAGTAACTCACTGCGGTCCGTATGGATGAAATTATGGTGATTTGACGGCAATTTATGGGTGTTAGTCATGGAATGTTAATTGCTTAAATTGGGTTTCAATCATTTCTGGCGTTTATTTGATATTATGTGTTCAAATAAAATGATGAAACACCTCAAATGAAACTTCTTAGTAAAATAACAAAGGCACATTAAATGAAGGGATCCGTCATAAATTATTGTTAGTCATAAATTAAATTTGGTTAGGGTTGTCTTTTTGATTTTGCTACGGTTGACGCCTTTCGCTTAATTTTGGAAATTGTCGACAGTAGGCACTATGCCTTCTCTCATTTCGAGTGACACAAAGTAACATCGAAGTTTGGCACCGAAAGTTCCAAGACTGAAAGCCTCCAATTAAGTTTGTTGTTGTTTAATGTAATGATATTTGATTTAAAACCAGGTTATTACGCATTTTTATGCACATATTGCTAAAGCATCGTAGGTATTGTACAAGTAAAGATATATAATATTAGGTATGTGTTTTGTATTTCAGAATATTTAACTATGTGCGACTAAACCGCAGCAAGCAGCATTAAAAGCGAAAATATTTAAAAGAGAAAATATTTCAAATAAAGCGAAAATATAATTAGCGAAAATATTCAAGTTTCGGAATGTTTACGAAATTTTAAGGGGAGTAGGAAAGTTTGGCAAGTTTAAATGAGCGTTGAATTTTTCAAAGCTCATGTTGTCGAGATATTTTCCTGCGAGTTCGAGCAAGGGATCCGCAGACGAACGAAAGTTACCGACATAGTCATTCACGGTTGGCGGACGTCACATATCTTCGAAATATTTTTTTTTGTTATTTTTTCGAAAACATGCAGGTGTTCTCACGATGTTTTTCTTCACCGCTGAGCACATGATAAGTCAACACTTAAATTTAACAATTACATTGGTGCCGGCATCGGGGATCGAACTCAGGTTGCTCTAGTTTATTGAATTAAGCGTGCGCCCGGATAGTGAGCTATCACCGCTCTTTATGCAAATATATCAACTCGTAAATGAATTCAGTGCAATCGCTTGTTTGTTGATGTTTTTTAGTGTAAAGGACGGAAATTTAGGAAGGGCTTCATTAGAGTGAGTGCCAGTTGAATCACCGTTTTGGAAAACTTTTTTTTTTTGGAAAATAGGGCACAAACGAGCAGGAGGCTCACCTGGTGGTAAGTGATCACCGCCGCCCATGAACACTTGCAACACCGGAGGGCTCAAAAATGCGTTGCCGGCCTTTTAGGAAAGAGTTTGCTCTCTTCTTGAAGGTTCCCAGGTCGTAACGGTTCGGAAAGACCGCCGGCGGCAGCTGGTTCCGCAGAGTGGCTGTGCGAGGCAGGAAATGCTTTGAAAATCGCGCTGTTATGGAACGCAGGACATCGAGGTGGTGTGGATGAAATTTTTGGTTTTGGTGCGATGTCCGATGGTGGTTCAGCCGCCGGGATCAAACCAAACAATTCACTCCCCGTGATAAATGCGGTAGAAGATGCAGAGCGATCCAACATCTCTACACATAACCAAAGGGTCAAGCCGAAACTAATAAGGTATATAATAAAAGAAATTAATATTCCGCAGCTTATCATAGTGTACGGCTACATTCTTTATCAGTCATATTTTTAGACTTTGAAACTTCGTTGAAATCTCCCCTATAAACTTTTAAAGATACGTGTTTACTATGTATTTCGGGCTATTTACAATCGATGGAAAGTGATTGGTATAATATTTAAAGTCTTTTGAATAAAATAACCTAGTGAAGTATATATTATTATATTTACTATAAAAAGTACAATTAGCAAGTATAAGTCAAATTAGCAGAAATTTGGATTTAAAATTAACCTCTTGGATTAACGTGTAATACATACACGTCGTTACTCCGTGGAACAGATGGCGAAAACATCAAACAATAAACAAGAAACAATAAAGACAAAAAGGGCGCATGCAATTTACGCCCGCCGTAAGGAAATTACTGTCTTCCAATCGAGACTCGAATACGACAAGGTCGAAGGATACAATTAAAGCTTCATAATACACCCTTTCCTTGCGGAACGAACCCGCAACATTGAATTACAGGCCGCCATAAAACCCACTATTTCGCCGTACACAATAATTAAAGCGGCAAACGGGGTATTGCTCACTAAATTATTCATGAGTTGCGGTGCCCGAAGCGGCGTCTCGGGTTCAAAGCCATTCCGAACTATTAGCGATTTAATTATCTCGAGTTATTAAAAACATTGAACGTTTGTCAAAAGCTGCGTCAAATTCTCGCATCTTTTATAATCGATTTGCTTTAACTCCGTGAATATTCGTACAACTTTATAAGTTAAAGGCTGATACAATTCTAATAAAATAAATAAAAAAACACTGGACACATTTTTACACAAATTTATCTAGTCCCAAACTGAGCATAGCTTGTAGTCTAGGTAACTGACAAACATACTGAAACTTAATTTTCTCTAAAAATAAATACATATCATGGATGTTTCCATCACGCAATATTTTTGCAGTAGTGGGGCTCGAATCCATATCCTCTGTCTTAAGGGAAATGTTCAGTATTGCAACTGACTGACAATATTAAAGGTGGCAACGCATCTGCAACCCTACGGCTGTTCCAAATGTCCATGGGCAGCCTTTATCACTTAATATTAGGTGAATCGCCAGCTCGTTTGCCACTTTATGACATAAAAAAAATGAATGATTAATTTTTGCTTAGTGTTGAAGTAATAATACGTTCAATGATTGAAACTTTTAATCACGTATATCCTTTTCATTGCAGATAACTTTTTCTATGCGCAACAAATGCCATATCTTAGCAGAAAACACAATTATTCTATCGTTTGCCTATATGAGCTATGCTACAATGAAATCTGACAATAAATAAACCCATAACACGTCATTCAGCAATAGAGTTCGCAAAGCCTCAGTCGAACAAAGAGACGACGGACACGAGGTCACTCGTGGGGTATACACGACCATAAAGCGATAACCGATAGCTACATTAACCGAGTGGAACTGTCCCATAAATCCGATCTCAGCATAATATAAAACTATAGTGTACTAGTTCATATAATATATCGTTCGGGGGCTATTCAGGTGCGAAGCGAACGCAAGGTGAACGGACAAGCGCGCCGCGAACAATGCAGCATTGAGTTTCCTCGGGAATTCAATTCCTTATCGTGTACATTATCTATCTAGTCCGCGACTACGCCACATGGAGCTTGGAACGAATTTAGATCCAATATATTCGATTTACCACACTTGGTGACGGAATTCTTAGAAAATTCTAATACAGATGATTTGCAGTATGTTGGGAATTCCAGTAAAGTTTTCATTTTTTTATGTGAAAGTTGCCAAGCGAGCAGACGGTTCATCTGATATTAAGTGAATATCTCCGCCCATGGACATCTGTTACACCCGAGGGCTCCGGCCACCTCACTCACCAGACGAAACGCGAAAGTATTATACTTCCACTTTACGACGGTCTTCTGTGAGATCGTAGTACTTACCCGGACGAGCCTGCCCATTCGTGCAACAGCCGAGGCTGCTGTGTGGCCCTACCACCGGAATTTACATTTCATAGTATAAATTTCTTCTTTTTCTATTAATATCACGCGTCGAATATGAATTGCAACCAACATGTCAAGTAGAAACATTCAAACTAACTTTTTATTCTCGGCAATTGAGATTACATTGCTGGAACTGGGATGAAAATATTTTCATTCTATGTCTATGTATATTATACATGCACTTACTCATTTGATAATAAGTGGTGATGTAACTGACAAATTAAAAAAGAAACTAACTGAAAACTTAAAAAACTGACTCAGTGAAAACTCTTGAATACTCTTAGCATTCGCGATTCGCGAAAGAGTTAGCGAAATCGCTAGTACGGAAAGCGAAAACATCTCCCAATACAGATAAAGATAAAAGGCTTAAACCGGTGTGGTATTGGAAGCAGTTTCACTATACTAAGGCGCGCGTGGGAGGCAGTCTGCGCCGCGTCTAGGCGTAGCTATCTGGCCGAGAGCCAGCGCCGTCGCCACCTAGCATCACGACAATATCCGGCCGCTGTTTCCAGCGATGACACGGCCGATTATGAAAATCAGCCGTCCGCAGACACAGAGGGACGTAGCTGCGCCAATCGACTAGCAAATATCGACTCTATTGCTAACGGCGCATTACCCATTATTAGACAGAGCGAGAGGTGCTAATGTGCTCCAGATATTAGCGTGCGTAAATTTTTATGTGCTTTATTTTAAACAGTGTCTGCCGTCGACTCTGGCGAGGCGTCGCTATTATTTAAATTGTTAGACTAGGTAGTCGGAAGGCCAATTGCTTCTATTGTCTTCTCATACTGACATCGATTTTAGCACTGTTTTACTGACGACAGGCAATTCTGTTTCTGATAGCGGAATTTATATAGAATAATACATTAATAAGCTAAGAACGGTCGGAACTAGTAGAGGTCTTCGAAAAAAAAATTGCAAGGAGACGCTAATTACTCTAATCCCGTGACCAAACCAACATAACAGAACGTAATGCCATTACACAGTTCCTTTTCCTCGCTACTCATGTGAGTTTCAAGAGCTGTTAAGAGGAACATTAAACTGCACGCGTAAACTTATTACCCGGCTGTTCGCGCTCTTTTCCCGCCCCGGGGCAAGATCTCTTTGAGCGTTGCGAAGTGTTGCCGAGCGGTGTGCATTACACGCCGACGGCGGTGGAGTGCTCGTGTGTAACTGAAAACCTGCGAGAGGTGTTGAATCCATTACGCCGGCTGTCGACGAGCGAACGCGGCCACAGTCTGAGCTTGCTTCAAGAAGCGTGCGAGCGAACGATATTTAGAGTTGAAGTAAACATTAACTCTTAAGAAAAAGTTGTTTGTGTGTACATAATACAGTCTTTACGCTTATGCACACAACAAATATGTACATACCGAAATATTGGATGTTAATGAGTTTGTTAAACTCCGTCCCTCATTTTGTGACCAAATTTTATATATTCACCTGTATGATGTCCTGACATCGGGAAAGATATTAACGTAGGCCATTGGGAATTGAATTTACAATCTTCACACCAACGAAAATCTGAACCCTTTATTTTGGCTTTATGAGCATTTCTTGGCGCCATCTATTGTGTTTTTTTTTTATAGCAAACGACCCCTTTTAGTACGAAAATATTTTATGTAGCCAGGCTTCAATTCAGATTTTTATAATTTCGAAAGATATATCAAGAAGTGCTTTCAGATTTTAGGAAAATTAACAGTTAAAAACCTAATTTAAATGAAGCTTAGATTAAAGCCACTAAGGTTTATTAAGTCAGAAAATTGTTTCCAAACTTAGCGGACTTTATTACAGACGAATATTTTTGATAAAACTTGTTTTAAGACAAGCTTTTAATTAACTAGAGCAGTAAGATATTAAAAGTATAAATAGAGTGAGAATATATTTCGAGTATATAATAGAATCATTATATTAGGAGTAAAAATGTCGGGTAAAAGTCCTAAAATATTTACATAAGGGAAATGAACATTAGCAGTAAATGTTCTTTGAAGTTCGTGACCTGCTTTAATACTTCCTATAAAAGGAAAACAAAAACAGTGGTTAAAAATAATAGTTTTAAGTGCTTTTGTATAGGTACCTAAAGTAACTTGAAGGAGCGTTTATCGCCCTCGCTTTGTCTTCGACGCCATTGTAACCGATACACAGCAATTACAGTAACCATTTAAATGCATGGATTTGCAACAAACTGCATGCTGTAGTTGTTTTCGTATCAGTAACACGTCATTTGGCTGTTTTGTATGCAATAAAGTTGCGTTACTGATAAAAAAATGAGGATAATTACAAAAAAAAAGTGAAGGTCTCTTTAATATTGATTGAGATTTAAAATATAACTAACACAATTGAAAATCGTCAATAGTTCGAACCAAGAAACGTGGGTAATTGGTTAGTTTTTAGTTTTTGATCATTTAAATATTTGACCTATAACGGAAAATTATTGATCTGTTAGAGTTGATGCTTATTTCAACCATCCAATGGCATGTTTTTAGTACACATTACATATTGTTACACACTTGTCGAAGCAATTCCGACATTAAAATATCATTTGTGTTAAAATTCTTACATCTAAATCTTCAGTCAGTCTACACTTAATCGACTAAAGAATCGCTAGGAGAAACGGAATCACCGCATTCCCCCTGCGGATTGCGCTCCATATTTCCGATGGGTGGGAGATTGATAAAAGGAGTGCAGCTCGACGCTCAATTAAGGGGCGACGAGCTCAAGGCTCAGCAATTTGCTCGAGTTGTACGGCGGTGATGCCGGCTCGGCTGCAAATTGGATAAGTGGCGCCGTCAGCTTCCGTCAATGATGCACCTGCGTGGAAGTCGACGGGTGCCTGGAGTGAATCGTGAATCTGGAGTGAGGTAGATCGTTTATGAACTATTCTATTTCGCACTCGAGCGGAATGGATTGCAATTTTAATATCGTTCAAATGCGTTTATGTGTTTTAGAATTAGTTATTTTATGAATGCACTGATTTGCTGCATCAAATTGCTTCTTGTTACTTCAAACTCTTATTTGAGTAGTAGTTAAATTTAATTAATTAGTATTAATTTATCAACAAGCAATTGAATCGAATGTTAGTTTTTGAGTTATCGTAAAGTACAATAATTATTCCTCTTCATGATGGAGACGGGAACAATGAAATTGTTGATTGATATTCTCAGTGTTGTACACTTATCTATTACACTTATCACGTGTACAGCGTTGAAAAGAAATATTTTTTTTATTTATTTTAACTTTTACAAAAAAATTTACATTGTGTATAGGCGGACTTAATGCCTACGGCATTCTCTCCCAGTCAACCTTTAGGCGACGCAGAGACAAAAGAGGCAGGTGTATAAAATTTTAATTGAAATATTATGTAAACAAGTTATACACATATTCATATATAATTAAATTTTAAACGTATAGGTTCATCAACATATAGCGAAGAAACTTGCACATTTTCGAAATAATATCAAAAACAATATCTCGAAGACATGTAAAGTCTGCCAATCCGCAGTGGGGCAGAGGAGACCATTGTTCAGAAGTGAGTCATCTTGTTTTTATTTAATCATCGAATCACACAAAATAGTTGTCCCGTGTGGGAATCGAACACACGACTCCCGGCGCCGAAGCCGATGCCTTGGTCCCCTTGCCACGGCGTCATCATTTCTCGTGTATATAGTTAGTTTACTTTATGATGATGAAACAAAAGTGTTAACTAAAATACAAATTTAAAACACGTAAAATCACCCAGAAACTCTCCGTGTCGCTCCAAACAAAACGCCGGGAGTTCCCCGAGTCCGTCGACGGAAGCGAAACCGTTGCAGGTATCGAACGGCCGGCTTCGCTCGGGCGACGCGAAAGTTTGCGGACGCCAGATGTCCCACCCTCGAGGCGGAACATTTTTTTTGTTTTTTGTTTTGTATAACTGATGTTACGCTTTCAGTCCTCACAACTTGGCATATAACACTTACAAAAGAGTTTATAACATACTACTTGTTATCACGTTGCTTCAATATACTCGTACTTAAATGTCTCTTTTGCGTACACTGTTTTTAAAACGCAGGCAGTCATTGCATTTAATTTTTATATTTTGATTAGTAATTTAGATTTTAAATATACCATCAGTCCAATGCGTAAAGTGAAATTAATAATTTTACATTTCGTCTGGTGAATGAGATAACAAAGCGCACCAGTTTATTCCATGTTAAGCATTTCCTACCTTTAAGGAATGCTTAACGTCGAATAAACGGCCTCCTCTGTAGCTATTTTCGCTGTAGAAATGTATTATGATCTAATAAGTAAAACATTTATTCAAGACTATAGATTGGATGGATATAATAAAAACAGAAAAAATAATGAAAATAACTTTGTATAATAATTAGACTACTTTCTACCTGTATTTGGACAAAGTGACGTTCTGTACCAAGGGTTAAAGAGTTCATCCTTAACAATGAATAGTTATGCGCTATTAAAGCTTCAACGCAGAACCGGTGGGCTAGCCAGAACCAGAACCCAGGGTTTGAGCCCCCCCCCCCCCCCCCCCTCAGTGGGTAGGGCCGCACTTGTACTCATGCGATGCGGCACTCAGTGGACAGTGCACGGGCTCACCGCGCGCAACTTTTTGTGGCACGACACCGGATTGCGAGCCAATTGTCTGTTTCGTGCGGACCGTTATTCTGCGGCAGACGCGTTTGTTTTGCAATTTAAAATCGGGAATATTTCATTGCACCGCGACTCTATGGATGCAGGTGCGGGAACTTTCGGATCATTGGGTAGGGATATGTACAGCAGTGGACTTGAGACGCTGTAATGATGCTGATAATGATGATAATAAAAATTTCATTGTTTTTAACTTTTTTGACTATGTGATTATTTTTATTACTTTATAAAAAAAAATACATTTACGATCGTTCATAATGGACTCTTCTCATTTATTTAATTTAATAAAGACAACAATCTGCGTTCAACGTGTATTTTGTTTTTTTTTTTAATGTTATCAGCAACGGCTAACTTTTATTGGATTAACTTAAAGTATACAAACTAAAATTAATGGATTGGTCAAAAATGTGAAAAATAGAAATACATACTTAAAAATAGTTCCTGATTTCATGCCGTATAAGTATTCCAGAAAAAAGAAAAAAATGCTTTAGGAATTAACGCGGGTCAATCAACTGTAAGAAAAGCCATCCTTGTCGAACAATAACACAGTTACCCCACATTACAACGGCTACAATCACGTGGAAAATAATAAACAATAACCACGTTGAATCTAATCAAACAACGAATTATGAAAATTAATTTGCATAACAAGCTTAAAGCTACAATTGATACATCCGCATGACATATCGAATCACGTATCGCGACCATAAATAAACTATCACGCTCTAATTCACCATGAACAGCTTTTCGTTGGTTTATTACGTTCACAAATAACGCCGGACATTACTAATCGGATCAATAAGCTCTTAAATAAGCAGGGTCGGATCGAAAGGACGTAAATGAAATAATGAAACTCACGATGGAGCGGACGCGAGCTTTTAACGTCTAACATCGACTAATTGCGCTAGATTCCGATCGGAATGACTTATTACGGGCTCCATTATTGTTGCTCCGCGGGGCCACGGACCTTGTTCATTGAATTTCATTCGTATAATGACAGCTAATTGAGATAATTAGAACCGCTTGTCCGTCACAGCCGAGACTAATTCGGGTTACAACCTGTCGACTCGCCATCGCCTCGCACGGACCAATGCGCAAGCAAATCATTTATGCCACTGAGGAATTTTAACGGGGTATACTGATTTAAAATGTATGGTATGATGAATATTTCCTAATTGTACCATTGTTGAAAGGTTATAAGATAGACACTGGTGTATATGAATATATATTTATATAAAGATGTATATTAGTACGGGAAAGACGAAAATGGGTGACATCAAAAAACATGGAGAAAAATCTAGTAAATTTTCTTGCCTACTCTATAATTATTTAGTATTTATATATAACAATACTTCATTCAATTTATCAATTTGAAAATAAGACGGAATCGTTTTAAATAGTAGAGAAGTGTGTAAAACTTTGTATTGTTGGAAATGGTTGCAGCACTTTTAAATAAAATTGCAGCCACGAAATTTTATTTAAAATCATCTTCTATATTAGATCTTATACGTATACGTGCTTCAAGTATACCTCTATCGCCTGTTTCCCATCTATACTTCTACCTCATCGTCCGTCGTTAGAAATAAATAACACGACAGACTAGTAACGCACGATTTGGTGGAATAACTTAGGCTGTCCATGAATCAAGTACCGACGGAATTTTTCCGGTTGCGTGTTAGAGTGAGCGATAAAAAAAAATCCCAACGTCGCACTTGTGCCACTCCACGGAGGGAACATATTTTGACAAAGCTATGCGCCGAGTTCGGTTTCCGTAACACAAAGCTAGCTTTTACCCGCGGCACCGTCTGTTGTTCGTTTCGAAATTAAAACGTTATTGTATACGGGTTAGAATTGACAAATCGCAATTGACAACATTTGGTGAGAATTGGCCAAGACCACTCGCATATTATATCTACAGCGCAATAGCTATGAAGGTCGAACCTTATACTCGTAGTCGTACCCTAATAAGCTACTTTAGCTTTCATTTGCGGGTAAATCTCTTTGATTTTGGTAATTTATGAGGTAATATTAAAGAGGTTAAAAAGTTAATATGATTTTAAATACATTTCGTTTAAATTAATGACAAAGAACACACCCATTTACACACATTCATGACTAAAGTACCATTACGAAATGTTTATTCTACGGCGACCGCGCGTGTTCAGGGCGCATTAGGCAGCTGAGCCTATTTTTCATGAGCGGAAAATTGAAATCGCATTTATCAGGTCAGATATTATAATTCCTCGCAACCGGATCTCTTCGGGTAGGTTTCGAATAAAGTATATATCATTGCGTGCTGTTCGTACGAAATTATAACGCACTGTTTATTTATGATAGCCTGTCGATTAAAGGTAAAATATACGCTAGCCGAACGAACATTTCGATAATATTACAGCACAAATTATCGTACCTCTCGAAAATACGAGTACACTGGAACTTAGGCTGTGTGTAAATATGTACTTATTACTTTTATGTATTTACTATAGCTTTTCCGATAGCTCTTTCTGAAAAAGAAATTTGGAGTTTAGATTTAAATCTAAGCAAACAAAAAATATTGACGTATGTAACTTTAAAACTTAATTCCTTATGTTTCCGTTCCAAAATATATTTTTTTTATGTAAAAAGTTGCCAAACGAGCAGACGGTTCAACTGATGGTAAATGAATACCGCCGCCCATGGACATCTGCCACACCCGAGGGTTACAGATGCGTTGACAACCTTTTGAAAATTGGGCGACCTCACTCACCAGACGAAACGCGAAAGTATTTGTCATACTTCCACTTTACGCTGGTCTTCTGTGAGGTCATGGTACTTACCCGGACGGGCCTGCCCATTCGTGCAACAGCCGAGGCTGCTGCGTGGCCCTACCACCGTGAAAATATTAAATACTGGCTAAGTCAGTTTCTTATTTTGATGTAAGAAGCTTCTGGAAATCTGTTGGTTTTAAAGTAAGCGACAGCCCTCAACCAAGCGACTTTAAAACCGGAAGTGAGTAGGGGCCCATTAACCCGAAATGGTGCGAGGACCGGTGGTGGTGTAATTAATTGGCGGCATTTCGGCGCGCCTTCCATTTCCGGGTGGAAATGCTTAATTTCGTCGCGATGATAAGGGCTCGTTAATTTCCGTTGCGACTCACCTGTCATCGGTGAGGGATATTCGTTGTTACATTTTCAAAAAACTATCAAATCAGTTGCTATGTTTTTATTTGGACACCCGATATATACAGCGACTGCAGATTTGACACCCAGTGGCTTACTACGATGATTACGTCTTCACTGTTACCATCATATTCACCGTCTCGAATTTGAATCCGGCAAGTCCGGTTGACAATGTCTGTTAAAGAGTAAAGTAAAGTAACAGCCTATACATCTCCCACTGCTGGGCAAAGGCCTCCTCTATAGCATATATAATGTCTGTACCTGTGACTTTTTATATAATTATCACAACTTATCATATAAGCCTCAAAAATTATATTATCTTTGCCGAAACCCGTTTGGGGAGAGATCTAAGAAATTGTTGTTCAATTTTATACATATATGATATGTAATTTTATCCACACCACCTCGATGTCCGGCGTTCCACATCAGCGCGATTTTCAAGGCATTTCCTGCCTCTCACGACCACTCTGTGGAACCAGCTGCCGCCGGCGGTCTTTCCGAACCGTTACGACCCGGGAACCTTCAAGAAGAGAGCATACTATTTCAGGCCGGCAACGCATTTGTGAGCCCTCGGGTGTTGCAGTCGTTCATGGGCGGCGGTGATCACTTACCATCAGGTGAGCCTCCTGCTTGTTTGCCCCATTTCTCCTTAAAAAATTATGAAATAATTACATGAGCTATAACTAACTCAACGAATACTTAAAACATTCAAGTGTTTATAAATGACGTGATGATTAGATAATTCAATAACAGCTCAACGAAATTATAGCGAAACTTTTGAAGCACTCACGGACTCTTCGATAAACAAAGCATAGGCTGTTTAGGCTTAGAGTGGAGAGCGAGCTCTGGCACTGTCATAAATAAACACGACATGGGAAAACCGTTTTCGTTGGAAGAATGTAACGCAATGTGTTTTACTTTAATAATGTAATATCAGAATTACAGCCCAATAATGTTTTAAGGACTTGTCTTTAACATTCATGGAATAGAGCTAGTTCCATCTACATTCTTGACAGGTGATGTCCTGTCTCTGTACGTAATCAATAATATTATGTTCGATATAATATACATAAGGTTGTTACATCATCTTCATACTTAGATATTAATAACAGATATAACGAGTGGGTTAAATGCACTTGCCGTATCAAGATAAGTGTAATGATATCCTGCGCAGTCGTGACGGGGCGCTTATGAAAATTCCACGATGCCTATCTTTGATTGATCTTTAATATCCTTTTAGTTTGTTCTCCTCGATGCCCGAGATTGAATCTACGGTTTCCATATACGTACCAGGTGGGCTATGCTCTTGGGAAAAGATTTAAAAAATTCAATGTGTGGCTAACGATGTTTATGTTTTAATAATGGTAATAAGAACTGATGACTCAGTGACGTACTTGTTAAGCGTTATTAGACAAACATTGTGTGAATAAAAACTACTTTTATTTCATAGAAAAATATGTTATAAAGGATCAAGTTTGTTTTGTTATATTTGAGAAATCTCTGGAAACTCGGGGTTAATATGAGATTAATATAATGAAACATTTTTTATATTTTGTTCCTTCTTAAGCACAATGTATTTGCTTAATATATTTTTATTTAACATAATTGTATCTATTATGTTAAGAGACAAAAATTTCATAATACCAAACCCGTCGTGCACTGTAAAAACCAATGATAATGAAGCAAGTCGTAACGAAATGTGTCATCGGAGAGTTTTTATTCACTCTCGAAAAATACAAAACAGAAACCGAAACCAGTCCGTGGACTAGCAGCGTCAACGATATCAAATAATAGCGCGATTCCGTTGACAATGAAGAGGCAGGCCCAGTCAGGGCGGAAAGAGGCCGCGAGGCGCGACCCAGTTGCGAGGCACCATTAGGGTTGTCAATTGTCGATCGCTGTCAGCGGAGCAGGCGTGGGTTGGGGCGATTGTGACGCGGCTGACGGTGCGTCGCCTCTAACTCAATAACAACCGACGGGGGACAAATTCACTCAAGATTAAAAGCGATGCCGACTTAACGGATATTGAAATTTTACGAGCGCGAGCCCTTTTGAGATATTTTCGGAGCCGCGTTACATTTGTTTACCGTTGAAAGGTTTAAGTTTCGTATAGCTGTTCAAGCGACAGTGTTACGAGCTTGTGTGCCATTTATAAATAGTACGGGCTGCTTGAGACGATTTCATTTTCAAACAGTTTTCTAATTGAGACGTTGCGACGGTACTTTCTTATTGGCGCAAACAATTAACACAAATCCATACAGCGTTATCTACTTTAGTGTTTTAATGTCATTTAAGTTTTTCCCTTGACGTGGTCCTGAGTTCAAATTGCTGATTCGTTTAAACTTTTTTACTGAGAGCATTCGTGAGGAATTTTAAGGTTGTGTCTTGGATAGGCCATCCATTAAGGAACCAGTTTGATATCACTTCAAAACATACATTAAACGACTGAAAAGCATAAAGCATGACATACCGAAAACACAAGGGGGTTGGGGGGTGGTATGATGCCGAAATATACCCGAATCCGATTTAAAAAGTCCATCGACTTAATCAGAGACGTCGAGGAGCTATTACGTGAAACATGAAACGTTTCGGGTTATATTCGGATTCAGCTTTGCGGGCCGAAATGGGCGAATATAATGATGCTTTAATCCCGGGCGCATAAAACCGGGATACGCGGGGTCCCACGGGCGCGCGACATATTTACGGGTCCCGTAGCTCATTGCGGAGGCTTTATTGCCCCGGGACTGGGTTCGCATACGTGAAAACGTCTTGTTGGTCCATATTGTTTGCGCCTCCACTCAATATTTATAGCCAGAAAGGCTGTTGTTTCATAAAAATAATCGCACGCTTGGAACGAAATGGAGAAATGTTTAGAACAAGGTGTGCTAGATCACGGTTCAAAGTTACACGATTTGTACAAAATACACGTTAACATTATTCCACTGTGAGGCTTAATTGGAAGTGAACCTTACACACTTTTTTCTTTTTTTTTTTTTAAATATTGCTTAGGATGCTTAGTACTTTAGGATGATATTATCCTGTGTTGTAATGACGTTTTACAAACATACATTTACAAACACCCAGATGCGAAACAACTATCTGTGGGTCACGCAAATAGTTGTCCCGTGTGGGAATCGAACCCACGACCCCTATCGCCGAAGCCAATACTTTGGCAACTGCGCCCCGGAGTCATCGACTGTTGCATACTTATATGTATTACTAATAATATTATAAAATATTAATACACCTTATTAATAATTTTATCAGTCTTTGAAGTATTACGGTGAAGAAAGTAGTAGTTATGTTGTCAAAGGTTTTCAAATACACGTTACAATATGTAATATGTGTTACAATATGTAACTCATTGGCAAGAAACATGACGCGAAGAGTGTTAAAAAAATGTTAAATTGAGCGACAGCTGCAGATTTGTGCTCTTAGAACGGCATTAACGAATCGAAAATAGCACCGTATCTCCTAGTTGATACTCGTAATTTGGCGTCACCTATCTCGGTATTCCACTTACAAATGAATTATTAATACGAATGTAATTGATATCGCCGCGTGGGTGCGAGTCAGAAGGGACAGGTTCCGTGGTGGGTGAAGCAAGACGGCTGGTGGGGTCAGAAATGCGGCGCCCGTGCGCACCGGTGGGCGGGAGGAGTCCGCCTGACGAAGGACCTGGCCAAATAAAAGAGCACAACGCTATTCAGGTCTCGGAGCGGTCGCTTCGTTTCCCTTTATGTGGTTTAGCAGTTTGTACCATTCGTGATAATTGTACTCTCGAGAGATACTTCAATGTTAATCTAATAGAAGTTGTTGTCGTCTCTCTTTGTCCGTGTCATAATGGCTACGACAATTAGCTAGTGACGGATCATAGATAAATATTAGTGTTATTTTTTAAATACAAAACTCCTACCAATCACGATCGAAACTCATCTGTTCATTACCAATTACCGTTTATTCCAAAAGTTCTCCAAATTGTTTTCTTTTTTACATATTGTTAACTTTATAAAATTGTTATTTTGTTCAGTATTTCACCATAGCTATACAAATATGTGCGATGAATGCAATTCATTAAGATAGGTGTGGCGTTCGGTACAACAGAAACAGGATATTTGACGTTATATTTACGCATGGGGGGCCACTGTCGCCCCGGCAACCTCGCTAATGTAAAGGGTAATGGATTTTAAGCATTCATACAGCACACGCAGGAAACCAGATGGAGTGTTTCGATAGCCCGAGGGAACTTGTTAGGGAGACTTGCAGTGCAAGTAAGGTGGAGATTTTCCAGACGTCTGCGCTGTAAGTATTTTACAAAATTTTTTGCCACGAAGAAAAGATGAAAATAGTATACTTCTGAACTGTTTTCATTATTTTTTATATATCGTACAGCTAAATGAACTAGTCCCTGGATTTTATTTAAATTATTTTGTGGATATAAATGAATTTTATACAACATTTCAGCTGTGAAAATTTTGTATACCAAGTGAAATAGATACTGTTTATGAAGAGTACATTGCGTATAATGTGTTACGGAACTGCAAGAGTTCATAATTATTCTTTACAACGTATGCCGTTTAACATTACAGTTTAATTATTAAACATGAAAATAACTGCCCCATCCACAGATACTAGCAAATGGCTGCGATACATTTGTCAAGCAGTCCGGTCAGTACACTACAGAGGAACAGCACAGTGGAACAGCACAGTGGAACAGCACAGTGGAACAGCACAGTGGAACAGCACAGTGGAACAGCACAGTGGAACAGCACAGTGGAACAGCACAGTGGAACAGCACAGTGGAACAGCACAGTGGAACACCACAGTGGAACACCACAGTGGAACACCACAGTGGAACACCACAGTGGAACAGCACAGTGGAACACCACAGTGGAACACCACAGTGGAACGACAATAAGGTAGTAGCGAAAAACAAAAACGCGCACCCACCAAAGGCGGCTAAATGAAAGTAAGTAATACCGAAAGTAAACAGAAAAAAAAAGGGGACATCACGAGTCCCCGGAACAAACATCTGTCGCGGGCTGTGAGGACGGCGAAATTCGAGACGCAATGAAATGGCCTATTACTGCATCGCACAATGCTGTACAGGCTGATGTCGCCCTTTGCGATTTTTGAATCACAATCATACATAAGATTTTTGTGTTCAAACAGGATCGTATCTTTCGAATTTGTACAAACATGTTCAGGCACAGCAACTGTGTTAATAAAACCGCATATATTAATGATTTGGAAATTTTTCGGAATAAGATATTTTGTTCTACTGTTACTATTAAGTTCGTTTATTCATATCATCAGAGGTTCGTAAACACTCACATTATATTCTATTAATGTACGTATGAAAGTTGTATTTTCATATTTGTAATTGGAAGAGAATCTTCATTTACATATTACTCTTCAATATTAAAAAGTGTAAGATGAAAATGTTATGAATAAGACGAATTCAGAAAAAAAATAAGGGAAGAAAAATTAAACAGGATAGAAATCACTTTGGTGATTTTTAATGCCTCGAGCCTTCTTAGGATGTTTTAAAAACAATTTAAAAGTAAGCAGGGACGCTTTAAAAACACTCGAAATTCTTTCCTATCCTCCCCCTAAATTGTGAGCGTTTTTTGTTGTACGTAATTTTACTTTAACGTTTTGTTCGCTCGACTGATCGTTTCGATTTGATCAACACCCTGTACTTGTGACGAGGTTCTAACAATGTTAAAAAGGGCGGCGCCGGTGAAAAATGAGACGGGAATTTGATTTTCATAACTGATGCCGAACACCGAGGTCCGTGTCTAATGGTGTCGAAATAAACCCCAGTCCCGTTCCGAGAGGCATCTGTCGGGTTTGGAACTTGTTTTGAGTAAATACAATTTGCTCTGTCATTATTTACCCACGTGCATTATGATTATCGTAGCGCTGCGTCGAATGTATTTACAACGATTTACATAGTTTATGTAAGTGATTACACATTTGTCATTATCGAAGTGTTTCGTGATAGGTTAAGTTGATTTAACAAACGAGTTCCTTATGAAATCTTTGATGTTTTCGTGTTGTGTAAACAGTGTTCGATGCAATTAATCAATTTGAAATAGCAAAAAGGAGTTATCATAAAGCGATAAAACTTTTGCATTAAAAGTGCATTGAATTTTATCAAGACATTTTTTTTTCAGTTTTTATAAACATTGCAATTGAGAATCAACAAATATATGATTAACAAAGAATAAAAACTCGATAAAAATAAACAAGTTTGGTCTTACAGAAGTTGAACACTGCGTCGCTGTAAATACTTTAATCAGTGGAATAGGCGGGGGCCACCAATCAGGCTTCCGCAACGCGAGCTGAGAGCGTGTAGCGGCAATAAAAACGACCACACGGAGTAAATAGCAATATGAGCGCCATAAATCGAGATTAAGTCATTGTTTAAAAAATATAAGCGTCATCCCCGCAGCGCCCGAGATTCCACTACATTCTGCGGGAATGGCCCACTAAATCCTGCTGAACGTCATATTTTTAAATGTTATAACATTATTTAGCCGGCCCCGCCGCCATTGTGCCTCGCTATACGCTTGCGAGCCGCCGCCGCTGTCCTTGTGATTGTTCGCGCAAATTTACGGCCCTCTGAGAGCCGGATCCTATGGTGCTTTATTAAAATGCTCTTGTACGTATTGCTAAGCATCGCTTGAATCAGCTTCTTACGGTAGTACAATATGCCCCTTGAATCCGCCAACTCCTGAGATTTTCTTTAAATGATAGTTCGACTATTTTTGTAGAATTTTAATGCTGTTTTTTATTTGGTACAAAAACAAACTGGTCAGTCGGCTTTGAAAAAACGATGTGTCATTTGACATTTCTCGGTGTTGCCAGGGGCGAAGGTTGATTCTTAACACCTGCACCTGACAGTATTGCAATTCAATTTATTTTTATATTTAGTTTTGAACCGTCCTTGCAGTGTGCACGTGTATGTATGTACATTGCAATAACACCATATATGATTACGAACTTCAATTTTAAGTAGGTGGAAGGTATTTTTATAGTTCCTAAGTATTCGGAAATAGGTATAAATTCTGTGTTATTTTTATCGTCATTTAACCGTTTTACGTTTTCAGTAATATTATCTCCGTATTGCGCCAAACAATGTGAGAGAATGATTAAAAAAATAATAGAAACTTTTAACATACGTGGAACATACGCTGAAGCCTAAGATATTTTCAAATGTTTTTACTCATTATTACAGATGATTTTATTACCATGCCAGCATGTTAGTTATATTGCATAATTAATATGTATGTAACAGTAGAAAATATATGTACACAAGGGAAATTGAACTTAGAAGCCTAAATTAAATAGATTTTTAGACCTATTCCGGACTATTATGAGTCAATTGCAACGTGTTAATGAAGCAATAACAGCAATTAGCGCAGGATAATGAACGATAACGGGACGGTAACGAAGCGTGTCCGCGATGGAAGAGGCGCGTGGGTCACACGCTCGTTCGGCTGCAAGGCCAGTCGGCGTTACTGGGAGAGCGTTGTGTTCCCTAAAAATCAGCTAACTACACACTTCAAGGAAAACTGATCACATAAATATAGTCAGTTGCCGGCGCTCCAACACGGTTCTCACCATACTCAGTTCGGATTCCGCATATATTTCTGAGGGCTTATAGAACACTGTGTATACAAGTTAATAATTATAAATTAACTGAGGTAGGGCCACAGTTTTTATAAAAATCTGTGGCTGGCAGCAATAATTTAACATCAGATCAATGTCTGCCAGAAATTAAAACAGTTTCAATTCGTATAGTAAAGGATATAGTAGCTAGATTATCATCAAATCAATAAAGTAAAAAGTCATTTTAAAATAGTAAGATAATTTGATTAATATTATGTGAAGTAAAAGATTTTGAAGTATATTTTTAATGTTACTTTTCCACTCACCCATGGCAGCATGCAAATAAATTTATCGAATGCACCCTTATGATTGCATAAAATGTCATAATAGTACGTTTTGTTACAAGGAAGGGGATTGACTTATAATTGCAAAAACATTTGCTATACGCGACACTTTAATGGCGTGTTCAGCAATCAAAGGCATTGTGTCATGTGAAAGAAATGTCATTCCGCTTTTAAATTGGCCGCTATCGAAACAATCGGCGCGTGCCTCCAGCAATTTATTGACACACGCTTCCCACGGCTGTGCCCATAAAGTTCTCAATGTTGTATTCGCCTCCCCACTCTCCCATTCAAATCGAATGGTTGTTTTGTCATGTTTACACAAACAACAATACGCAGCTGCGATGGAAGTGGAAACAAGACGCGCAATGAGGCGTGACTCGAGGGGTCATTTGTAAAAATTACGTGAAACCCTTTAGACCGCAACAACTACCGTGGTTTTGCTTTTCAGACTACACAACATCTGCCCCGTTGTCCACTAATTTTGAAGAAAAGTAGGTTAAAAATAACTAAACAACATCTGCCTATTTTGTTTCAAAACAGAACGTGTGCTTATTACATCTTTTCACGCTAAAACGTATATAATATAACAATTCTAATATCAATCATGTTGTGAAAGCTGAGTCTCGTCATTATTGGCAGACTACGGCATGTATACAGTATACAAATAAATAAAATTGGAGTGTCTGTTTGTAATATTAAAATACGCTTATTTTAATATTACAAACAGACACTCCAATTTTATTTCCACTTTTTACTCAATGCATATGGATGTCTATAAGGTAAATAGTTTTTTTTACAAATTTAATTTGTTTTTTTAATTTGTCTGTCTGTCTGTTCCAAATCTCTGAAACGGCTGGACTGATTTTGATGGGCAGATAGCCGATGTAATAAGGAGTAACTTAGGCTACTTTTATTTTAGAAATTTGATTTATTTTAAATTCCACGCGGACGAAGTTGCGGACACAGTTAGTCGGAAATAAATTCGACGGACTGTACCGTCTAGCGTGTTTAATCAACGTTATTGTTGGATCGACAGCATCAAAGATGACCTCTGTCCGACAAAAGGCTGTTCACCAGTTCTCGGTAAAGATCTGGTACAGGTCAAACGCGCTTGACCTGCGCATGCTAATATGAACCACATTGTTCGTATGTGATGTTAAACAATGCCAATCTTTCTTCAGCGTGCACTGCGTTCGGCTAACGCAAACATTAGGTCGTGATAGATAAGTATTTTATTTCTCTACTTTGTTTATTTAGTACTATTTTAATATGTATTTCATTGTTTCTATACCAGTTTTACACATTGTCAATATACTTTTGTAATAATTTTAATAGTACAGAGAATTATTATTATAAACAATTCGTGACGATAATCTTTTATCATATTTGTTGATTTAAAAAAAAAAATTAAGTTGGTATGCAAGTTGTCGTGAATAAAACTTACGACGTAGAGTAGAAAGTATCGTTTTTGTTACTACGGCATTCAAAACGGAAACAACGAAGGGAAACGAAACCAAATAAAAGTTTCGCAGCAAATGCTGTTTCGCTCGTTAATAATAAATCAAAGAAACGATACTGAGTAACGAGCAACACGTTCTAAGAAATATCGACAGTTTTCCAACGGGTTGCCCGGGTCAATTTTGTGAAATGCACACTCTTTTTCCGCAACATTCACCACAGTAATACGGTACTTGGATATTCTTAGCTTTTAAGTTGCTAAGATGTACACAGGGCATATCGAGTGACAATATTACTTGAAACCTCACAAAGAAACACGAAACATAAATTCGTAGTCGACTAAAAGTTCCCGAAAACGGTTTTAATGAACTTTATAAACAACGAATGATACTAAACATATTTCCAACTGTGGCGTAGCACAGCAGCATTCCGGCATTTACGGAGGCATCGACCTGAGCGGGATTGGGTAAGCGCTGTCGCATTTTAAGTCGGTGACATGTTTGCGAAAAACATTCGCATTGGCTCCTCGCAATCGGATACAAATA